TAATAATAGTAATAATGATAATGATAATAACAATAATAATAATAATAATAATAATAATGATAATAATAATAATAATAATAATAATAATAATAGAAATAATAATAATAATAATAACAATATTAATAATAATAACAGAATAGTAATAATGTTGATAATAATACAAACAATAATAATAATGATAATAATTATTATTATCATAACAATAATAGTAATAATAATAGTAATAATGATAGTAATGATGATAGTGATAATAATAATAATGATAATAATAACACTAATGATAATAATAACAATAGTAATAATAATAATAATAATAATAACAATAGTAATAATAATAATAATAATAACAATAATAATAATAATAATAATAATAATAATAATAATAATAATAATAATGAAAATAATTCCGCAGAGTTAAGAAGATTTTGAGATCCAAACTGAATGCAGGAAATATAATACAAGCGATTAATTCAAGGGCAGTGTCACTAATACGATATGTGGCCGGAATCATTGACTGGAGAAAAGATGAACTGAAGGATATCGACAGGAAGACCAGAAAGTTGTTTACAATGCACAGAGGTATGCAGCCCCAATCGGATGTGGACCGTTTGTACTGGAAAAGAGCTGAAGGAGGGCGGGGACTACAGAGTGTTGAAGAGGTTGTAGAATTAGAGAAAGCAAGTCTTGGCTTCTACCTGGAAACGACAGAAGAACGTGTACTTATGGGGGTAGTGAGAGATGGGTTATTTACAGAATCAGTAGAACCAAAAAGAAATAAACAGGAAATCATGACAAAACGGAAAGCAAACTTTGAAGAAAAGAAGCTCCATTCAGTGTTTTTCAAAGAAACAAAAGAGATTAGGAATGACAATGATAGCTGGCTGTGGTTACAGAAAGGCGTATTAAAGAAAGAGACAGAAGGATTAATACTAGCAGTACAGGAACAGGCATTACGGGTAAACTGGATCAAGAAAATAATAGATACACAAGACTGTTCAGCCAAATGCAGAATGTGCGATTACCGAGACGAGACTGTAGCACACATTGTATCTGAATGCTCACAGTTAGCTCAAAATGATTACAAGAAGTGCAGACATGATAAAATTGCCGCAATAATCCATTGGAACTATTGCAAGAAATTCGGTTTTGCATGCACGGAAAAATACTATGAACATTTTGTGGAAACAAAGATGAAAGTCCTTGAAAATGATGAAGTTAAGCTGTTATGGGACTTTTCTATACAAACTGACAAGAGAATAGAGCATAACAAGCCAGATATTGTGGTCTTAGATAAGAGAAAGAAAGTGTGCCTCGTAATTGATGTTGCTTGCCCGTTTGCCCCCAGAATCAGAAAAAAAGAGCAAGAAAAGATACAAATACAAATACTACAATGACTTGAAATACGAAATTCTGAAATGTTGGAACAAAGAAGTAGACAAAGTCATGATCCTACCAATCGTCATTGGGGCATTGGGAACTGTGACAAGTAATTTGAGAAAAAAAACCTTGACAAGGTAGACCTACACCAGGGGGTCGATGCACTGCAGAAAACATGTCATCTTGGAACAGCGCGAATTATCCGGAAAGTCGTCGATACAAAGTAAAGAACAAAGGCGAACTGTGTACAGAAGGACAGTAATAAGAAGAAGGACAGAAATGCTTCCCATCCTAGACCGCGGGTAGTGGTTCGATGAGAGACATAATTCATACAATTGGCTGGTTGTTAGATCAATGCCGTGTAAAAGCAAAATAATAATAATAATAACAATAATAATTATTATAATGATAATGGTAATAATGAAAATAATGGCAATAACGATTACAACAATAATAAAATTATATTAACAGTGCTAATAATAGTGATAATAATAATAATAATAATAACGATAGTAATGATGATAATGATCATTCAAATAATAATGATGGTAATAATAATAGTAATAATAATAGCAATAATGATAATGATTATAATGATAATGATAATAATATTGATAATAACGAAAATATAAAGGCATTTCTTTGGTTTGTTAATCATAAAGTATAGTGAGCACCTGCGTCTTTTTGTATTTATTTCTTAATTATTTATTTTGTTAAATTCTGTTTATTCTTTTTTTGCACGACGTTAATGTGTATTATTTTGTGTAATTTTGTTTATATTGTTTGTCAGTGTTCAAATTATTCGATAATTATTTTCTTTATTTTCAGTGAATTTGGTTGAGCTTGTTTTATTTTTTCTATTTTTTTTTTCACAGCCATTCATTCCACTGCAGGACATAGGCCTCTCTCAGTTCACTACAGTTATATTGCAGTGTCATCTTTGCCTGATTGGATGCCCTTCCTAATCAGCCGCGGTTCGGCGCGCTAACAGTTGTGCCACGGCGGTGACTTCCCCTACGACACCTGCGTTGGACTTCTCAATGTCGTTTTCTCGGGCTCGAGCCAGTAGTCAGAGCGCAGGTGTTTTTATGACCGCCGCGACGAGGAATTGAACTCGGGACCA